GGCCGCTGCTGTTCACATAAATGCATACATCATTTTTTGCCCGTCTTACAAAACTCGTGTCGTATCTAACACCTTTTGGCCAGTTGTTGCGTCTTTTTGCCAAACTACGGAGAATGAATTACAGATTCAATGGCATTTCAGGTTGCTACCAGTTTTCATTTTGAGCTACCGGTTTTCGACGCTTGGCTTCGCGCTAGTCTGCACCAAATTTTGTGGACATCTTTTTCTGAGATGTGCTGTTTTTGTCATGTTTCGAAGTTGAAAACCAAATTTCCCTAATTTGTGTCACCTTGGTTTCGAAAACGTATAAATTTCAGAAAAAAGTGACACCAGTCATGATCTGGAAACGTCGCTTCTGCTCGAGGCACCTTCAACAACACTACCTGGTATCCTCTGCATACAGTGCTCGTTGGGGTGAATCAGGGCCTGGAGATGAAAGCGCACTACTTAAGCCATCTGCAGCTTGTTGAAAATATTCTGACCCTCTGAAGGTCACCAGAAGAACTCCAAAGTAGAATCCGTGAACGAAACAGCGCCAGCATCAAAACAGGACTGGAAACGGACCTGAAGAAAATTCTAGTCATGTCGTGACCCAGCGACCCATTAAGGTAAATGGGCTTAGGCCTAAAAAGCGTAAACAACATTCATCTGAAATAACTCACCTCTCTGCAATTGAGAACCGCCTGTGTAACACGGTCAGAGGACTAAACATGGCATGGAACTATTTTGGAAGACTGATGATATTCTTATCCAGGCAGCTGCCCTTGTGCCTGAAGCAGAAGTTTGTGTTCTCAGGATGTGCTTCCAGTGATAACCCACAGAAACGTACACCCTATGTCTGGAAGCTATTTAGGAACTACAGACTACGCAACACAGCATGAAAATACATATGTTGGGAATACTTGAAAAACAGGAACAAGAACGAATGGCTAAGAGCACAAACAGAAGTCTGCACTGTCACTTCATGAGTGGCAATGTTCAGGGCACATTTTCAGAAGAACCCACAGTTTCCGGAGGAGAGGAACATTATACTGGCTTCCAAGAGAGAGCCTTGCACACATATGACGTCCGCCAGATCGAATGCCGGATGTACTTAAGTATTTATTGGTTTAGGATGGAAATAAATGGCAACCAAGAGTAGTCTAATGGTAAAGTCATGTAAAGCCATCATTCAAACGGCTGATAGTGCTGATAAGGATGGTGACATTGTGCCTGACGTTAGTCAGCTCAATATTTCACGTGAAAATGTCATGCAAAAGGTCGAAACTTTTTGTTTCACCACCAGTGAAAGAGAAAATGACGAGTTTTGTTCAAATATTCAACAGGAGCTTGGAAACGTGTCGAATTTAATCCAAAGTCAGATGCTTAAAATATTAAATGAGTAGTTATGAATGACGGGAAGCTGATTGCCCATATGCATTCTTTTGATTTGTATGAGAAGGCCGTTATCGAAGAGAAAAAATCAACAATCACTACAGAACGCAATAAATTTTATGGTGGAATCAAACTCGAAATTATTGTGTTCTGGTAGATTAATATGTTTTAATTATGACGCTTCTGAAATATTAGCAAATGCGTCATGCTTGATGATAATACTCATTCAATGGCCTTAATAACGTATTTCTGTTGCTTGAAGCATCCACAGGGATATGGAGGCTCATGATGGGTTTTTAATGTTGTAGGCCTGTGTATTTCTATAGTGAATTTATATACCTGTACGAGAAACCGTTTTCACAGAGACACTAGGGGAACATTAGACTTATCTGCGGTAAAGGTAAATACAATTAAGTTTAACATGCATTTCTCTGAATATGAAGAACCTTGGTTCTATTCTTATGTGTTAAATAGTATGTTTGAGAAAGGGTTCAAGTTTGCGAATAAGAAGCGACGTAGAATCGATATTAATGGGATGCGATGAGGGAGAGACATGAGGAACGGGACATATTGAGGCATTTACTGACATGATCTAACTTTTCTATGATCCGAAGCATAGATGACGTTCGATTCTATGACGTTGGTTTCTTAATCCCAAGCAAAGCCTCTAGTCCACCCCCCACACAAAAAATGAAATCTCTATTTCAGCAATCATGCAGTGCGTGGCACATGAAGGACAGTTTCCCTTCCCCTAACAGTTGTGCTGACGTCATCTGCAAAATATATTGGTAGAAGAAGAATGAAAAGAAGGCATTGATCATCTGGACACAGATAGCATCACTGCGACAAGGGATGGCTGTTTGCTGGGATTGGATGAGCATCATCGCTCCTGTCGATGATGAACTCTTAAGGCCATACCATGGGCTGCGCGGTCGCCTTACTACTGTTCCCTAGCGTAAGGCTGCGGATAACGACCTGTACACAAACTAAAGAAGACTTCTTTTTCGTGGACGAAGTCCCATAGAACACTGACCAATAGAAGTCAATCACTCAATAGTCAAGGATCGTTTTTTACTGTACATCTGCCTGAATTTACTGAGATTTATCTTACCAATCGTGTTATCACGATTATGGCTTTGATGACGTGTCATGAGGTTGCCATCACAAGAAAAATAACAACATAGCAACTGCTCATCGAAGTAGGATTTACACTCTCAAGAATGGCTGCCGTTTTCGATACCCTTCGTTCATGAAGCTTAGTGTACGGTTGTCTGTTTCAGTGCCATCAGGGAGGAATGCGGTATTTCACTGACATTATACCTACAGCTAAGTGATCACTATGGCAAATAGCCTTCTATTTCCTTCCAACGAAGTAGTAGTCATAGGCATATTAATTTATTTATCCTGAAAGGACGATAAACAAGTGCCACGACCGGCTCTCGAACAAAATCTTCTGAGCAACGCGATAACATCCGTTATGACGTTGTTTCTATTTTCAGTGACATTCCTCATGAATGCTTTGACTAAATTGCATTCTAGATTTTGTCATGAAAAGAAGACTGAACTCAACTTTACTATTATCTTTATTACAACAGACATTTTTTATGTTTTATTTCTAAACTTTTGTAGCATAAAGACATAAAGCCAGATATTTATGGAGTTCAACGGCAGCACATATTTGAAAAGGACATCCTCCTAACCGAGCTGCAGGCGTTGGAAATTTTGCGTAGCGTCATGAAACAGAGAAATATCGTAAGGAATCCGACGATGCTGTGGAAAAAGTTTCCCATTGCTTACGAATACCACTCGTCGATGAGTAAGCGAATCAATTCTTTTATTGCTTAGCCGTTATTGGGCCAAGTTTGTTTTAAACTAGTGGTCGAAACTAGTTCTTAAGCAGCACTAACGCAGTGTACCAAGTTTCTTCTGTTGAATGAGACTTTGGCAATACACTGCCACTCAAGTGTTCTTGGGTGCTGAATCAACCACCTCGCTACCTCTTATTGTCGTCTGGTCTTCTGCGATGGCCAGAGGGCTCTTTTCATGTGGTATATGGCAGTCCATGTGGTCATTTAGTAATTTACGTCCTTAAACAGGTTTGGAGCTCTAGTTTTCGAGGTTTAAAGTGACTGATATTCGAATGTTCCTCGTTCGAGGAAGATGGCCATTATCGCACCGAAAACGTGGCATTGTTTAAGATATTTATTTGGAAACCGGTCATGAAATTCGCCCATCTCATACCCAAAAACATCCATTGACATCTCATTAGAAGGACATCAGTTTCCGATGTCTCCGTTTGACCAGGTCTAAGGTTTCAGACCAATAAAACATGATCAATAATATCCACTGTTCGCAGTAAACCGTGTTAATTTTTCAACAGAGCCGTGAAAGACGCGTGGGCGTTGTTCTCATCCTATGTCCGAAACCATCAAACCAATCAATCATGTGCATCACATTAGATTTGCGTCATCCAGATGAGACCCGGTTCTTCAATGAAACATGGAATCAGCTTCTGCCAGGTCTTCTGCAACATGCACTTTTGCCTTCCTGTAGGACTATGCGAAATCGAATTTGCCCGTTGCACTTTTGTGTTCAAAATGTTCGTTTTACTCTACCGATGACCAGAAGAACGTATTTATATGCGTAACCGGCAATTGATGTTCTGAAGCTATTGAGAGTACTGTAATTACTTTCCCTGACAACCAGCCAAAGTTAGCTTAAACCGATACTTCGGTAGTGTCAGACGGATGGAAGCCGTTACACCGGCTTGTACGGCGGCATTACGTTGCACATTGCTTTTAACCGGTGGGGGAGGGGGGTTGAGGATTCAGCCAGGCTACGGCTGTGTGGTATTTGAGCACCTTCAGTACAACGCCAAGGCCCTTACCTCATTTCACTGTTAGGAAGAACAAATGAGGTTCAGCACTCCCACTTGTAGTCGCGGCAGAAAGTTCAATACTTGCTGTCAATCAGAGTAATACTTATTAACCTGAAAGAGTCACTGTACCACCATGACGTCGTACTTGAAGCCTGTTATTGCGGGCATTCTTAAATGGGACTATTTTCAGAGTAAAGTGCGTGCCGGTGTGCTTCTTAAACAACCGAATAGGGTTTAGTAAAATGCTTGACACGTTTCCTTGCCGTTCGGCATCTTCTTTGAACATACTCGAAATGAATGGTGAAGACCGGATAAGCTGCGATCAGCGATTGTGTAAATTCTGCGTACAGCGCAGCACAAAATGTTG